ATAACATGAATTTAGATAAATACAATAATTTTGTATTTATTAGTGACAGTTGCGGTGGTCAAAACAAAAACTCAATTTTTGTTAAATTTTCATTATTTATTGCTATTTTATTTGATATTAATGTAACGCATATTTTCCCATGTGTTGGTCACTCATATAATATTTGTGACACAAACTTTGGTATATTAAGTCAAAAATTTAACAAATTATCAGAAATACAAACCCAACATGATTATTTGAATATCATTAATGAAAGCAATAAATTTTCATTAAAATATTGTGATGTTTCAAATTTTGATAAATTGCTTGATATACATTTTAATTATGATAAAACTATTAAATTAATGAAAATGAGTAGAATTGATTATTTTCCCAATGGTGATGTTATTTTTTCTAATGATTATAATATTGGTTGTAAAAAAGTTAACTTAATTAAATCAAATATTGATATTATTAAGATTTGTATCAAAAATATAGAAATTGATGTCAAACATTTCATAAAGTATGATAAAATTAAAGATATTGTTGGTTTGTTACGTTTTATTGATTTAGATAAAAAGGGATATTTTACTTAATTTTTTGAAAAGTTTGGACAATAATATTGTAATTTATATGAAAAATAATAAATACTATTTGAAATTATTTTCATTTAAATATAATTTGTGTAATTTTTCATTAAGTTTGTATATTCAATATAACTATACTGCATTAAAACCTCTATTACTCATTAAAAGTCACAGAGCTCACTTCAACATTCCCTGGCACATATGATATCACCAAATAAAATATTTTTATGACAATGACAATATAGAAAAAATAATTAATAATTAATAATAATGAACATTATAAAAGTACTTTAAAATCCATTAACTTTATATATTAGAAACTTATATTTATATATTGAGTATAATTAATATTGCTGGTACAGATTGTTATTTGTTGTGGAATTGATTTCGTTTCTATAGTAATTTAGTTTGAAATAAATCTAAATTCAATCATGAGAAAATATAATATATTTTGATATTGAGATAAAAATTACAGTGACTATCTGATGTTAATCCAATATTTTTATTTTTACAAAATTATATCATTTAACCAAGAATATTTGCTATCAATAACTTCCTATTACTGACCAAAAAATGTCGTGAAAAATATAAATGGCCACCATATCTAAAGCACCCTAGTTAGTAATAAGCTATAGGCTCGTGCAATAGGCTTATAATATTAGCTATACTTATGATTAGCCCTATAAATTTAAATGTCACTGAATAGTTAATCGAAATTTATATGATGTTGCAGCTAATGTTATTTGTTTTATATGTCTTTATTTTATTAACAAGTAAAAAGTAATTATTTAAAAAGTGTTTATTATAATTATTTTTAAATTATTGTTCATTAAAACAATATATAATTTATTGGCTAATTAAATTACACAGGTCACTTTGATTTATTTTATTCACTTATTATGTTAATATAATCTAAAATAATCTAAAGTATATATGTAATAATTTTAAAAAATTGTACTTTCTATAAGGTTTTACATTGATGAAATGTCTGGATTAAACGGGATACATTTAAAATTAGCCACCAATCATGTAAATATGATAACAATAAAAATATATGTTATATAATTATTTAATATGATATACTTTGTATATCCCTTAATTGAATATACTAATAGACAATATAAATTTATTTTATTAGTTACCTCCGTTTACTATTTTAAACTACAATAATTCAACAGAAAGTTACGAATTGATTGGTGGTATATACGGCTTGTTTTTCATGACAATTGCCGAGTATTACAATATAACATACGATGTGATCAATAATAACGGTGTTTGGGGGGCACAACCTATCAATAATACGTGGCCAGGGGTTATCGGTATGCTTCAGTCAAAGGTATTACCTAGTTACATTTTTGGCAAATGATTATTCTAATACAATAAATTAAATTGATTATGTTCCAAATAAATTAACAGTGTATATATCTCAGTTAATTTATAAAATATTAAACATAAATGAATTTTACGATATATTTAAGATAATTAATTTAATTTGAAATATTTGTTAAAAATGTTTACTATTTAAATATTAACTATTCCATTGTAATTATTATAATTACTGGTATTAATGTTAATTTTAATATTTATTTATTTTAACTTTGTATGTGTTTTAGAGTGCAGATATCACAATTTTTTTAGTAATGACAAATAACAGGCAAAATGTCATTGATTACACCGATCCATTAAAACATGGATATATTACATTCACTTCTCCTATGCCTATAACAACACATTTCGACAATTTATTACAACCTTTCGATTCATACATTTGGATATTAATTATAATCACATTATTAATATTAGGACTAATAATTTGTAATACAAATTATAAGACGACTAGAACATTTAATTTATGTTGGTATATATTATCTATATTGTTGCGACAAAATGGCACCACACGTTTAACTCAAATAAATAAATTATTAATGTGTACCTGGATGCTAATGGTTACAATGTTAGGTGCATGCTATTCGGGGTGCATATATTCATTAATTCGTGTTCCCATTGAACACAAAATCGAGACATTAGACCAATTGATTTCACATGAAATGAATGGTAATATTAAAATAGTTGTTAAAAATGGGTCCATTGCACAATACAAGATAGTAAGTTAAATAAAATTTTATTTTGATTTCAACAATTTACCAAATACTGTACTAAACTGCCATTATTTCTAACGTATTTGTATTCTCTTTATATTAGATTGTAATCCTAGGAATTTTTAATTCAATCATTTTTAACAGTTATTTTTAAAAAGTATTACAGTACTAGAATTATTAAAAGTAATTTTTATAAAATAAATTACTTGTAGGTGAATTGAACTTGAGACAATGCTCTACTAGTAATATATGTTTTACAATCACACAGGATAAAATTAACGAACGGTATGGATATAGATTTATAAATTACCATGGTGTTGACGAGAAATCATTATTTTATTATTTAAAACGTACTGATTATAAATACTCTGT